CGGCCCCCCGACGACGTTGAATCTCGGTTTGGATACAAGTCCTCGACCTCATCATCGTAGTACTACGCTCAACAGTCAGTGCAGTGTTGGTACGTGTGTAACATTCTTTCCATATATATTATGGTGTATTAGTTTCTATAAGATTCCTGTCTATACTACCATTGTGTGGATTGCAGAAAGCGGCATAATAGCCGATATTTCAATCGTTTCGGATGATGGTGGCGATGGAACTGAGAGAAGTCACTGGAACTCGACTCTAGAAAGTCCCACGTCCCATCTACCAACGACGTCGACGCCTCTTCAATCACCGACCAGCGCAACCGCGACAGCAACAGTTACCTCGGCTTCTTCGTCCGATACGAATCTCACCCCTTACGACCAAGACATGTCCATTAATTTATAAGTGTCACCCCTGAAAAGGGCGGCACGGCTCTGATATAAAAGAGTATATATTATATACATACGTGTTGTCGATTCACTTGCAAGTTGTCTTATAGTGAATGCAGTGTGACTCACTCGAATTGCATAAAATTTTTCATTGGAAAGTGGCGACGACCACGTGCGTGTAACTGGATAGAGAGTACTAGAGCGCATATTTTTCTTGGGCAATCGTAGTTCGATGAATGACCACGAGCTATAAGATGGCATGTAACAACGCCGTAAACACAGTCCAATAGATCGCTGCATTACGCTTATCACGTGAGTTCCGTCACGAGCGTCTGTTGCAAAACGTTTAATGTGAATCCTGTTTTATGTGACAGAGTTCGCAAAGAGGCACACATACACATACACAGACACACCCTAAACACCCACAATATACCTTGTGTCCCAGAGAGCTCAACTTTCAAGTGAATTTATCTTTTGATACGCTTCGAATTTCATTGATCTAGGCGATCGCATATATAGTTGTCACGTCTGAATTTTATAAACCATTGATTTTTCAGAAGTAACGGCGACGTGTATTTTCTTATACTATCTCCTCGAATCCACCAACGTGCTCAAGAGAACGATCATAGATACAGATGTGTTCCGACAGAATCTATATGTGTATGGCTGCATGCTTCACGATGTGCTGCAGTGTTGTAAACAGCATACACCGGTTGCCATTAACTCTCATTAACATTGGCATTCCTGATCAATCAGCGACTGAGAATATTATCTTGGATTTACCGACCATTCGTTTATGGTACTTTTATACTTTATTTATATGCGTAGTGAATAAATATCGATATTCCATGTCCACATTGTGTTCGCGCTTATTACGAAATGAGGACGTTATCGTTAAATAACGTCACAGTTCGAGAATACGCAGATTATTTTTTCCTTTCCTTTTTTCTTTTTTTTTTTTTAATGAAACACCTGAAGACTAGTTCTCGTTTTCGTCTTCTCTTCAGGTATTCCATTAGTTGCCAAGATCATTGTTCGTTTCCTTGTCGAATGCGCTTCCGACCATGAATGAACGCATCCCTTCAGGAATGTCAAAACAATGCGCACACATACATACCATTTTGTAATATAATGTAATATTAAAGGTTTATACGACATAGCCGCAAGTAATATAACCGATAGTCTAAATATTATTTCCAGATTATATATTAAATATATATAATATTATATTCTTTTTATGTCAGTCATTTGTAAAACCTTTTATCACCTGTAGATGTAAATCTAACTCTGGCCTGTACACGAAAGCCAAATTTTACCCTCACTTTTTTCTTTTTCTTTCTTTCTTTTTCTCTATTTTTCTCTTTTTTTATTTACAAAGCAAAAGAAGTAACTTACGTTTGAGCGATGTTTTTCTCTCGTTTCACTATGTGGACGTCTTAGGGAAGCTTAGATTGAGCTTAACTGAAGACCCTTCATACATAACGCGCATTTCTCATGCCAATTTCTTTTTGCTCGAGAAGCTTGACGTTTGTAACTGTGCAGGTTCGATTATGGTTCGTTGACTGATGCTTGTAGCACAAAATGGAATTCGTACATCGCCGTAATATACAATCTCGTTGTGCTGTAATTAAATAGTATATGCGATAAAGAGCTTTGCGTCATATTCCATCTAAAAACTTCAATCAAGAGCACACAATCACCTGTACAGGTTCCGACCAACATAGTCACGTGCTCATTGAGCTAGCGACCGAAGAAAGGAAAATCACGTTGGCGCATGTAGCAATCAGCAATTATCCCGTTATATAATTCTGTATTGTTACGCTGCTTTCAAGCGAGTCAGTTGATCAAGCCATTGTTAATGCCAAGGTCTGCCAAGGTATTTTAAATGATACCTTATGGACAGTGACCAAAACTTCGTTTAGTTTGTAATTTGGGATCGATCGAAAAAGAATTAAGGTATTTAGAAAATGTAGTTGTAGACGATAGTTCGGTATGAGAAAAATTTATGTCCCGGCACAGTCTGATGCACTCCCACGTATCGTTTACTATTATTTGCGAGTCGTACTTTTAGTTGTATTATACCATACACGCCGTGAATTATTTTCGAGAATCGAAATTTATCGAATGTTCGATGTATCGAGGAAGAAAATCGAGAGCATGCCATATAAAATCGGTGCATCCGGCTGAGCATCCCGCTCTTCGAAAGTGACACTAAGCGAGACAAAAAGTAAATAATTTTCTATTTTCTCCGCGATTCTTTGTTTGGTATTGCTTTTGAATTTGGGATGTCGAATTAAACGACGAGATAATAAGGGATAACACGGTACCTTAAGATACCGATAGTCACTTAATTGTACACGCTCGTAGATATTTATTAATATTTTTTTAAGTAGATCATTTTAGTCTATAGATTTAAGTATCCGCATCATTATAACGAAATGTATATATTATATATTTACATTAATAACATGATTATTTCAGTATTGTACTGTGTCTAACACCGATGTATTTTATTACTTGCTAAATATACCGTATTGGGTGCCTTTTGTAGCGAAGTTAAACCTTTCATTTTTATCTTTATCGTTATCCTATACCTTGTTTTTAAATTAGTGTTGTATTTGAAGAACGGTTACTTACTTTACATTACGTATACTCCAAAAATCGGCGTATGAAATTTAAACATAACACGCAGCAGTAGTTTGAATGTGATTTTACAGTAGTCAATGATTGAACTGAATATACATGTATATCACGCATTAAGAAAAAGGTAGACGTGACATTAAATGGGATTTTCTGCCTTAGGTTCTGAAATACCGACATGGAACAAATGAAAAAGAGTGTTTCCTACGCCCTTTGCGATTTGATACGATGAATATAGGAGAACAAAGGGCTTCTTCTATTTTATCGCAATTCAATAAAGAATAAAGATAGCGATGAACCCAATACATATAGCTATAGTACTACTGACGATGACAGTTGCCGGCACCGATAGACTCTAGCTTGTCCCGCACCTCAGTTTATCTAAAATATAAAGGATCAAAGTTGACAAGAAGGTCGGAATAAAATCTCGTTTACTTATCTGAATCATCTCAAAGTGATTTTTGACTTGATCCGGCGGAAACGGATGGAAGCTGGTAAGTGACCCATTTTATAAATATAACTTTTTTTAAATGTAATTTATTTAGAAACGACAGTGGTTCGTTAATGCCGCGGAAATTTCGATGATCGAGGAAGAGAGCAAAAAAGCACCGCGGGCAACGAATGGCCTCAAGTAGCAACGGCAGTTATTTGATAAAAAAAAGGATCGTGTTCGAGCACATGGTGTTAACTTTTAAAAGGAAAGTAACTTTCACTGTGAGAACCAGCGGGAGGACAGGAAGGGAAAAACAAGCTGATCCACGCTGCTCCTCTATTTAAAATTGTTACACTTTAATAAGTCTTTGAACTTGCCATTGGCGTGTTCGCAAGAAGGAGGAAGCCATTAGAAGAGTGAGAAAGCGCAAGATAAAGAAAATGTCACTGGAATCTACGAAACTCGAAGAATGGAATACAAAGAACAATTAGGAGAAAAGAAGATTCCAATGAGAAATAATGCGAACAAGGCGAGGAACGACAAAAAGAGAAGATGAGAGATGACTAGACGCGAAAGAAAAGATTTCAAGGAAGGTAAACGGAAACTATTTGGTAAAATTGAAGTGAGATAAAGACAGGAAAAATAACATATGAACAAGGAGAGAAAATAAAATAATGCAACCCAGTGTACTCTACCAGATACAAAGTCTAAAGTACCTTCGCTTTTGCAAAGATTAAAGGAATTCTTTGAAATATGTTCAAACTAAATTTATATGTACAGTGTATGCAGTACATACAACATGCGCAGTATAGATAAGTTGATGCATTTTTACCTTTTTGAAGGGAAATCAATATATCACATAAAGTAAGCTTGCAAAATTTAATACAAACTAAATTACCACAATTTGTTACAATTCTAAATTAGCCACAAAATCGAGTTACAAATGCAAATGTAAAAGAACTTCGCTCATAACATGGCACGGGAGTCGACTCTGGGAAGATGAATGCCAAGCACCTTTTCGATGAAATCCCTGATTGGTACAAGGTCCACTCCGTCGTTGATGACCTTCTGTCTCATTTCCAGGAAGATTGGTGATTGGTAAACCGTGTTGACGATTCTCTGAAATTCATTGGAGTGCAGTCTTTGCATGAAGTTCTGGAAAGCAGGGGAGGTGTGCATCTTTTCATTGTACATGGCCGTGAATTTGTCCAAAGGGAGGGCAGCTTCTACAGCGTTGAACAGAGCTTTCAATCCACCAAGGTTTGATAATGTATTCATCGATGAGAATTCCATGGGTGGTACGTAGTCTTCCATACCGAACAATTTGTGGATTTTGCTGATCACCTTTTTCATGTCCAAGCCAGAGTCTTCCATGTACCTCACCAAATTCTGATATTCTGGCATAGCTTCGACCTTGCGGACCAAATCGTGGAATGCTTCGCTGTACATGTATTCGATTGCTCTCTGCACTTCGTCGTCTTCCAGGTAGGACATAACGATGTTCATTATTTTGTTCTCGTCGACCAGGTTCATGAAGTCGTGAATGTCTCTGGATAGTTCGTCAGAGGCGAAGATTTCCGCTCGTAGCATAGCACGGGAGTCGACTCTGGGAAGATGAATGCCAAGCACTTTTTCGATGAAATCCCTGATTGGTACAAGGTCCACTCCGTCGTTGATGACCTTCTGTCTCATTTCCAGGAAGATTGGTGATTGGTAAACCGTGTTGACGATTCTCTGAAATTCATTGGAGTGCAGTCTTTGCATGAAGTTCTGGAAAGCAGGGGAGCTGTGCATCTTTTCATTGTACATGGCCGTGAATTTGTCCAAAGGGAGGGCAGCTTCTACAGCGTTGAACAGAGCTTTCAATCCACCAAGGTTTGATAATGTATTCATCGATGAGAATTCCATGGGTGGTACGTAGTCTTCCATACCGAACAATTTGTGGATTTTGCTGATCACCTTTTTCATGTCCAAGCCAGAGTCTTCCATGTACCTCACCAAATTCTGATATTCTGGCATAGCTTCGACCTTGCGGACCAAATCGTGGAATGCTTCGCTGTACATGTATTCGATTGCTCTCTGCACTTCGTCGTCTTCCAGGTAGGACATAACGATGTTCATTATTTTGTTCTCGTCGACCAGGTTCATGAAGTCGTGAATGTCTCTGGATAGTTCGTCAGAGGCGAAGATTTCCGCTCGTAGCATGGCACGGGAGTCGACTCTGGGAAGATGAATGCCAAGCACTTTTTCGATGAAATCCCTGATTGGTACAAGGTCCACTCCGTCGTTGATGACCTTCTGTCTCATTTCCAGGAAGATTGGTGATTGGTAAACCGTGTTGACGATTCTCTGAAATTCATTGGAGTGCAGTCTTTGCATGAAGTTCTGGAAAGCAGGGGACGTGTGCATCTTTTCATTGTACATGGCCGTGAATTTGTCCAAAGGGAGGGCAGCTTCTACAGCGTTGAACAGAGCTTTCAATCCACCAAGGTTTGATAATGTATTCATCGATGAGAATTCCATGGGTGGTACGTAGTCTTCCATACCGAACAATTTGTGGATTTTGCTGATCACCTTTTTCATGTCCAAGCCAGAGTCTTCCATGTACCTCACCAAATTCTGATATTCTGGCATAGCTTCGACCTTGCGGACCAAATCGTGGAATGCTTCGCTGTACATGTATTCGATTGCTCTCTGCACTTCGTCGTCTTCCAGGTAGGACATAACGATGTTCATTATTTTGTTCTCGTCGACCAGGTTCATGAAGTCGTGAATGTCTCTGGATAGTTCGTCAGAGGCGAAGTTTTTCGCTTGTAACATGGCAACGTAGTGGAATCTCGAATTTGGTGATTGGTAATGAGAATTCGCTGTTGCGAACGCAACGAGCGTTGTGAACAGTACCAGTAGGAGCTTCATCTGTAAAACGGACGATAGTTCAATGATAAGCTTTATTGATTGGTAAGCGAAAACACTGGAAGTAGATGTATTTTCAATTGTAAAAATGAGGATAAAATGTTAACGTGTTTAAAGAGATCGGATTAGTGTTGATCGTGTTAAAATGTTTCTGTTTGCACAGATTTGATGAATTTCGGTAGAATTTGTCAAATGACGAAATTGTATTTGTCTATTTGCAGTACTTGAAATTAAAATCGCTCGGATGCCAATAAGTATAAAATTAACTTACTGAGAATGTCATTTAGACAATAGATCATTAATAGGTTTCGTAACAAAAATGGTTGATATATTATAAAAGTGTATTTTAGAGCAATCCATAAACTCACCTTGACCTCTTTGTGGGAAGACTGTTGTACTTGATGTGTTTTCTACCAGTTAGACTCCTTTATATATACTGAAACGCATTCAAGTAAATGGATGAAGATATCGGGCACCTGGATGAAAGATAAGATTTCATCATTCGTGCACCTGTGTCTCAGCACTTGCAGAGATTAATGCTTGTTGTGTTTGATTATCACTGAAAAATTAACAGATCAGTGAAACTTCCAGAACAAACATCGTGTGACTTTTATTTTCAGCCTACATTGAGATCTTCACGGTGTGGAATCGATCTTTAATCTTATTTACTATCTATAATTACTCTTTGAATACTTGTGAAATAAAGAAATATAGTGAACAATTTTTCACTATTTTTATTATCTTTATTGTTTTCACCTATTATTAGCAACATGAAAGTATATGATATGTACACAGAAAGGACACTTTCCACTTGTCTATGCTAGCTATTTGGTTTAGTGTACTTAATTGAAATTAAAATAGTACCGATCTAAAATAGTAATATCGGCAATATTAACAAGTTTTATTTCCATTATACTTGCTTGGAACTGTGATTTTTATGCCGATAGTATGCAACTGATATACCAGTTTTTGAAATTATACGTAAGCAACTTTGCAGAGTATTACATTTTGTAACCCATAATTCTTTTCGACGTTACAAAAATTCTATTAATGTAAATTTTTTATCAACAAGCAAACTATAAATAAGTGAAGATGTATCTAAACAATCTGCTAAAAATTAGAAAATCTGATCTGTTCGTGACCAATAAAGACAATTATATAACCCGAAAATTAAGAAAATTCTTTGGGTACAACTGAATTATCTTATCCGCAATACAGCCCTATTTTTTCATGTCATGATTTGGTGTAACCATCCCTTGAAAAGATCCAAAATCTTTTTCTTTTTGTGAAATATACAAGAACGATGAAAGGTACCTAAAAAAAGGTTAAAGAAAAGCTGCTTCGTTTCATTGTGTCTATTAAACTACGCAAAAATATTTTTTGAAAAATTCATGATTTTCGAGTTACCCCTTCCCACTACCATTTCTTAAAAAATTTTTTACATATACATGCTGAAATACTTCTAGATACTTTTTTTCGTATTTGTCAGTGTTAAAATATCTTTTCAATTAAATAAATTAGTTATTATTCTTTTTGCAGCATGTTTAGTGAATTTGTAGTAGCTGTGGTCTTTTCTTTAAACCGTTATTTGACAAGAAATGATTGTGTGTATGTTTATGCATAATTTTGTACTGTTTTGTTTATTAATGGATTCTGTATCGAATTCAAGCGCCAACAAAACTGAACCCGCATCCGGCCTTCTTTTTGAGATCAAAATACAATGCATTCCAATATCTTATTGTCAGTTCCCAAAACACCCTTTAACGGAAACTCCTTCTACTTCTACAAAAATAAAATTCTCCTATTTAGGCAAAAATTTGTGGAATAAAAGTTTCAGCGAATACACTTCATTTTATAACTGTTATTTTAGAAGAAGGTAATAGTCAAAAAATTACTATTAGGGCATAGATAATTGAAAATTTTAACAGTTTTATTCGATCACTGATTTGATAACGCATCGTGAACAAGTCTCGCCGTCATTATCATCTGAAGCTATATTTTTCAATGAAGAGGGTACTGATGATAATAATATCGATATAGATATTGATCCCGATTATGAAATTCATAATTCGACATCACCAACATGCTCGTTGGAAATTTGTACAACTGAATATTTTAGATGTGAGATAAAAGGAAAATGTAGAGAAAATGGAATTGGATAGTAATTGTTATAAGACATTAGTTTTGAGTAATAGTACTTTTTGTTGCAACGAGCAATTACTGCTTATCTTTTTGCGCTTACATTGTAAAAGACATTGTAGACTTCGCTCAGCTCTATGTCACTAGTCCAGAATTTCTGCACATTTTCAAGATTATTAATAAAGTTTTTAATATTCTAATGTTCTTATATTTAATATTTTAATATCTAATGTTCTAATGTTATCTAACATTGTGCGGTGAAGCATTCATACTGGATAAACTATTTTCACAGATGCGGCACAAACAATGTTGGACGCAGCAGTGTTAAATGTATGAATGCTACTTGTAACAATGTGAATAGTAAACTATTTTGTTCTATTTCTCGTCCTATAGAATAAAAGCATTGGTTTGGAATTAATTTAGTCACAGTGAATGCGTTGTTTACCGTGAAGGTTTAATTTATTTAACGATAACAGTAAAATTCGTGAAGATACAATATGTCTCGGCAAGAAATTGAGATTCGTTGGTTCTTCAACAGATAAATACTCAAAATTAAAATTCAAAGATCAAAATCTTACTGATATGGATTTTAAGTCTTTATCTGTATTGTTTTTAATTGTATCTGAACTCGAGTTGCTACAGATATTCTATAGATAAAAACATATCCACAAATTGTAATTTACACACACACACACATATATATATATATATGTATATGTGTATATTCTTTTATTATATATATATATATATATATGTATGTATATGTGTATCTGTATTTTTGCATCTTGAAAAGTGTAACAAGTTGTTAATTAAAAAGATATGTAATGGTATCAGTTGAAAAATTAAATTGATATTAAAGTTTCGATTAAACTGTAAAAAAGGGACCCCATTATGCATTTAATTGGGCTCCTTTTCATTTTTTCGGTGATATGCAAAATTAAAATGGATGGTCGTCGAATCGTGTTGACTTGAAAAAAATATAAGAATATCTTGAAGAGAAGAAAAAGAAAGAAAAACTCTAAGTTTTAACTTAAACTAGTAGTTCATAAAAATACGTTGTACTTTTAATGTAAATTATTTATTAAGGGATGCGAATGTGTAGCTTTTTATTGAAATATTGATCTCCAATAGAAAGGTACAAATTGTGCAAAACCCGTCAGAAATAAATTTTTATAAAGTATAGTTGGTTCTGTAAATAAGCATACTGATATCTATAATTTTACACAATACGATAGTGTTTAGCTGCCGGTGATTTATTTGATCCAAATCAGTAGCTACATCATTTTTTAAAAGGAACTTCAGACAGAATCTGCACAATCTGAAACGTTCTATTCAATATCACCGCACATACATATGTATATCATAATAAACAATTTACAATTAAGACTAGGATGTGTTTTTATAAGCTATTAACTTTTTAAAGATTCCCCCTTTTTCTCAAGAAGTTTTTACTTTTTTCCTTGAAAAATATTTCTTATGTTTTATCTATAAAATCAAACAACTTTTACGTGGAAAATCTTTTGAACTTTTTACAGTTAAAGAATAAAAATTATTTTTAAAAAATAATGATATAAACGTTAATATCGAACATGCTTTATAATAATAAATTATAGCAAGTTGAAGATTCGTTTTATGCGTATAGTCTGTCACTGCTATCGATAACGTCACATGTGACACGAAAGTGGTAAGCAGATCAGGTGACCCTCAAAACTTGGGACAAGAAAAAAATATTGCGTCATTATGGATGAGGTACAGAGTAGATGATGTGACATTCAATGCTTTTTCTTGTCCCATGTTTCGGTCGCCATCTGCCCCCATACCATTTTCGTGTTGCATGTGACATTATCGATTTAGTATAATACTAGTTTGAATTGAAACTAAATTTTCCTATGAAATTACAAACATAGTATAGAATAGGTCATTTTGCAAATGAAGTAATAGAATTCTATGCTTCTGTAATATGTTTCGAGTGTATTATCACAGAACTTAGTCAATGGTAGTTCGAACGATCGATGCGCAGTAAATCGAGACGTTTCGTTATGCGCAGTCACGAAGTCAAACTTTCATTGCAAGTTCGGTTTCGGTATTCGTTCGTGATATTAGTTTATTTGCAGACACTGTTTACAAGCAACAATAGGCTTTCGGTTTTCGTGTTGGCTCGATATCTTGTAATTGAGTAAACACCACGATACATGTAAGAAGCATATAAAAGTCGCGTCGCGAGTGCTCCATTACGTCGATCCTGCTCAACATAACACACAATTTTTATATCATTGTAAGTACATTTCAGTGAAAAAGTATTTAATTGTTTCTATATATGTACGTTTTCGACGTAATATTTGCAATAACATAACCCTATCTAATCGCATTTGTTTGGTTAATATCATTATTGAGAATAATCTATATGCTATATGCAATATATATATAGCATATAGCATATGCAATATATAACGTGTATATATATATGTATGTTGATGTTTCATACAATTGTATAAAAAAATTTACTTTTCGTAAAGCAAAGAAATTTTTGTTAAGGATCTTAGTAATTTTAATAATAAAATTTGGTCCCGGCAGAAAATTTCGTAATTAATCTACAATGTTTTTCTTAAATACATAACTTAATAGGTTTGTCACGTGTTGCAGTTAAAAAAATTTATCATAAATCACAAGTTATTTTTATAGAAATATCTAGTCATAATATCCCCAATAATAATAATAATTTGTAAAATATTCCTGTTTCATATACAGAATAAATACAAAGAATCCCTAAATCTTTGAAAACGTATTGAATTATTAATATCAGTGTTTTGAGACTAAACGACACTGCAGGCATTCTTTCTTTTACTTTTATCGCTAATATCACATTTTGGCATATGTCACAACTCCTTCTTAGTTTCTTGTAAGTTCTCAGGTAAAGATATTGATTTCTGCACAGATTTTTGCTCAGTTAAACTGTGCCCCTCCGTTGATCTCGATTTTTGCATTTCTATCTCCTTTTTCTTTATTATGGATGCTCCAGTAAATCCTGAATATATAATATATAACGTAAATATCATGAATTCAGATTGTAGGAGTGTTTAATGGTAGTGGAACTTACCTAAAATACCACAACCTAATGCAGTTAGACCACCGACTTTTAATCCAGCTAGTAAACCAACCGGTCCACCAATACAAGTTCCAATTACAGCTCCTGCTAAAGGGTACATAGTAACTTTGTACCTAGCAGCTTTTTGAAGGAATTTCTCACCCTCTGTTACATTCACATTTGTTACTTCTATGTTGTCTTCTACTGCATTTACTAGCTCCTTTTGATCCTAATTA